TATGCTACAATCGTTTGGTATTGGTTCGAACCTCGGTCTCCCGTTCCATGAAAGCATGAAAGGTGACTAATTAACTTAAGTATATGCTACAATCGTTTGGTATTGGTTCGAACCTCGGTCTCCCGTTCCATGAAAGCATGAAAGGTGACTAATTAACTTAAGTATATGCTACAATCGTTTGGTATTGGTTCGAACCTCGGTCTCCCGTTCCATGAAAGCATGAAAGGTGACTAAACTTAAGTATATGCTACAATCGTTTGGTATTGGTTCGAACCTCGGTCTCCCGTTCCATGAAAGCATGAAAGGTGAGCATATTATATCTGCTAAATCGTTTTGGTATTGGTTCGAATCGGTCTCCCGTTCCATGAAAGCATGAAAGGTGACTAATTAAACTTAAGTATATGCTACAATCGTTTGGTATTGGTTCGAACCTCGGTCTCCCGTTCCATGAAAGCATGAAAGGTGACTAATTAACTTAAGTATATGCTAAAATCGTTTGGTATTGGTTCGAACCTCGGTCTCCCGTTCCATGAAAGCATGAAAGGTGACTAATTAAACTTAAGTATATGCTAAAAATCGTTTGGTATTGGTTCGAACCTCGGTCTCCCGTTCCATGAAAGCATGAAAGGTGACTAATTAACTTAAGTATATGCTAAAATCGTTTGGTATTGGTTCGAACCTCGGTCTCCCGTTCCATGAAAGCATGAAAGGTGACTAATTAACTTAAGTATATGCTAAAATCGTTTGGTATTGGTTCGAACCTCGGTCTCCCGTTCCATGAAAGCATGAAAGGTGACTAATTAACTTAAGTATATGCTAAAATACGTTTGGTATTGGTTCGAACACTCGGTCTCCCGTTCCATGAAAGTGAAAGTGACTAATTAACTTAAGTATATGCTAACATCGTTTGGTATTGGTTCGAACCTCGGTCTCCCGTTCCATGAAAGCATGAAAGGTGACTAATTAACTTAAGTATATGCTACAATCGTTTGGTATTGGTTCGAACCTCGGTCTCCCGTTCCATGAAAGCATGAAAAGGTGACTAATTAACTTAAGTATATGCTAAAATCGTTTGGTATTGGTTCGAACCTCGGTCTCCCGTTCCATGAAAGCATGAAAGGTGACTAATTAACTTGAGTATATGCTAAAATCGTTTGGTATTGGTTCGAACCTCGGTCTCCCGTTCCATGAAAGCATGAAAGGTGACTAATTAACTTGAGTATATGCTAAAATCGTTTGGTATTGGTTCGAACCTCGGTCTCCCGTTCCATGAAAGCATGAAAGGTGACTAATTAACTTAAGTATATGCTACAATCGTTTGGTATTGGTTCGAACCTCGGTCTCCCGTTCCATGAAAGCATGAAAGGTGACTAATTAACTTAAGTATATGCTAAAATCGTTTGGTATTGGTTCGAAACTCGCAGCTATCACAGTCTAACTGTAAATCACAAGATACCAGCCGCGATTTTTAAGAGATGAAGAAAAAAAAAATGGGAAGAAGAAGAATGATGTCAAACTGGGCCTTCTCCCGTCTCCTGCCGCTTCTCTTTCCCTCCAGTTGTCCTGTTCTAGGTTGGCGGTGCAGTGGAAGTGTTCGTTTCACAAACCTGTATCAAATTTCCTCCCTGTTCTTGTTACTTTTATAACCACTCGTCGCCTCTTCTAGTTTTTCCATTGCCTTCGGCGGGTCGGTCTTGTGGAATGTTTTCGTCACCGATTCCCGTTTCTCAGTATGGCAGTCATCAGAAGCTTTCATGTGAAGCTGCCTTGAGTCCCGTGTGTATTTCTTCTTTCAACAGCAGACCTCTCACCTGCACACAACACAAACCGGGTAGACATTGCATTACTGTCATCTGCAGTGGGGATTGTTGTCAGCTTTCTGCTTTCATTTTCTAGAAGTACAGATTTATAAGCTTTTTTATGTTATCTTAGCGATCTGGCCACTGATTCTCCTTTCTTTTCTTCCTCCTTCGTTAGATGCAGAATGTTGAATGGACCTTTGTGTTTTTAACCCTTTGAAAATAAAATACGTTCTTTCTTTCTTTCTTTCTTTCTTTCTTTCTTTCTTTCTTTCTTTTTTTCTTTCTTTCTTTCTTTCTTTCTTTCTTTCTTTCTTTCTTTCTTTCTTTCTTTTTTTCTTTCTTCCTTCCTTCCTTCCTTCCTTTCTTTCTTTCTTTCTTTCTTTCTTTATTTCTTTCTTTCTTTCTTTCTTCCTTCCTTCCTTGCTTCCTTTCTTTTTCTTCTACTCTTCTTCTTCTTCTTCTTCTTCTTCTTCTTCTTCTTCTTCTTCTTATTATTATTATTATTATTATTATTATTATTATCAGTATTATTATTATTATTATTATTTCCCTTTGTCATCATTAGAGCATAGGTAGGCCCACAACCAACATACCAAACCATCCCGTTGTTGTCATCTCCCTCTCCTCGGCCGGTGTCCTTCGCATATTCTTAAACCACGCCTCGAATTACTGTCTCCGTGTATCATCGTCGCCATCATCATAATCATCAAAGTCATCAACTCTGAGCAAATATTCGGTCATATTAAATTCCATCAGTTTGATTATTCGTGGCTTTCGCTCCTGTTTGTTGTCCGTCTTTCTTGGCATGCATTACTCACTATTATTTTGGTTTCTTCGTGTTTTTACTATAAACGTAGTTCTTGTTTTAGTGCATTGCAGAGCCTCCGCATGATGTCTTAATCCAATCCAAATGGGGAAAAGGGGGATGGGGCGGTGCGCAAAGAAGTTTCAAGGGAGGTATCAAGCAGCTTTGAAAGTGAATTTGTACGTGTGATAATCTGCCATGTCCCCCCCCCCCCCGCCCCCATTTTCCCCTTCTGTTTTCAATTTAAATATAAATAAAATATGTTTTAAAACTTTATAAAATGAAAAAGCCAGGGATGTTTTTGTTTTCAATAGTAGTGTGTACATCTTGCGTTACAGATTTAATTAATAGAATAACACAGTTCCTGTTAATACTGCTTGGGTGTGTGTGTGTGTGTTTTTTTTTTTTTTTTTCAATCGTCCTCTTTTTAATCACATTGTTTAAGTGATGGTGGGTTTGTTTGGTTTGTCTTGTATATTCAATAAGGCGTCACATGAAAAAGGTTTAAAAACCACTGTTATAGCAGGTCGATTACAGAACGTCGTTCTCGCCACAGTCTGCCTGAAAGACACTGGTCTCCCGCCAGTTCTTCGGGCGTGTGCACTTTCGTGCCCCCTTAAAAAAAAAATTCATAGAAAATACGTGCATGTGTCGGTTTCCTTTTTTTTTTTTTTTTTTGTGTGCTTGTAATTTCCTACATGCGTCTGGGTTACCTGCCAGCTGGATGTGTAAGGGTTATCCGATCCTGCCCATTGCAAGACGCTGCAATGGAGAAGAAAAGATAGATATGCTTGCCTGGGGGAATCTAGGAAAAGTGAAAGCCAAATCGGAAGACGGGGCCGTAAAAGTGTGGATACATCAATAACTAGAATGTACTTCAAAGAAACATTTCTTTAGAAACATCAGGCACGGGAATGATGTAGTTCTAGCGTTCATTACCACAGAAAGATTATATAGTACAGTGTTTCTCATCCTTCCTAATGCCGTGACCTTTTAATACAGTTCTTCGTGTTGTGGGAACACCCCCCCCCCCCCCCCCCCCCCCTCTTTTTTTTTCCAATCAGGAAAAAAAAAATGTGTTGCTACTTGTTAACTTCAGTGAATATGTGTTTTCTGTTGGTCTTAGGCAACTCCTTTAAAATAGTCGTCCCCAACGGGTCGGGACCCACAGGTTGAGAACCGCTGATCAGGTATCTTTCAGAGTGAGAAGTAAAAGTAAACGTCAAGTAAAGGACCCTTTTTTCTTCGTCTTCGGGCATATGGATCAATCGGCACTCCGTGTGTGAGGTTATCAGCATCGGAAGGGCTACCTTCACTTCCTAGGGTTATACCTGGTACCCACTTAAGGCAGGGTCGACCTAGCATGCTAAGCCATTTTTTAAGGGTATTAAAAAAACCCGGCTCTGTCAGGACCAGAACCCATGACCTTTCGATCCGCAGGCTAGCGTCTAGCCACTACACCACGGTGGCTCTCTCGAGTGAGAAGTGTAAGGGCTTTATTATAAATGCATCACAATAAGTCATTTGTCTGAGCCTCTAAACAGGGCACAACCGTTCACGCAGCCACATGTAAGACTGGTGTGTCAGCCATATGCATATATGGAATGTCGCTCCCAGACAACAGAACACGTACTCCGTGATTGCCTCCTGTATGAAATATTACACACGTTTTAGGTCACACAGCAACAACTTACTAATATAAAGCAAAGACAAGAATGACAATGACATTTCTATGAGAGACGAAAGTTGCAGATATAGTCAACTTATTTTAGGAGAACAGAAGAAAAAGAAAAGAAGAAGAAAGTCATCATTATCAACTCTCGCTTTTGCCGTTAGGTCTGAAATGATTAACTCTGGCTGACGAGATCGTATGTGGATGTATAATCTCTTTCATGTCGTTAGTCTATCTTATCTTTGAGCTGCCACCGGTGTTTTTAGGTGTAGCGTAGCATCTGTATTCGTACGTTCCATGGTTGCATTCTTATGAGAAAACCCAACCATTTGATCTTCTCCTTCTCAAATCAAAGAATTTGATCCACATGGTAGGTTCCATGGTTGCATTCTTACGAGATAACCCAACCATTTGGTCTTTTGTTTTTCAAAGAATTAAATCCACGTGGTAGGTTCCACGGTTGCATTCTTACGAGATAACCCAACCATTTGATCTTTTGTTTTTCAAAGAATTAAATCCACATGGTAGGTTCCATGGTTGCATTCTTACGGGATAACCCAACTGTTTGATCTTCTGCCCCTTGAAGAATTCGCACGGGACGCAATTTTTCGTTACTTGAAGCCCTAATGGCTTTTGCCTGGAGGTCCTGTCATAAATATGGCATAACGGCTGAAAGAGGGTTTCTGGGTCCTCTCCACGGGTGATCCTCATCCGCATGTTAGCACTTTGTGTCACCGGGTGTTTATCCCCTTGTGTGATGTGCTGGTGGGGTACAACAAGAGAGAGAGAGAGAGAGAGAGAGAGAGAGAGAGAGAGAGAGAGAGTTACTGCGCTCTGTCTGTATCACAAAGACAGAAATAATGATTGCAAAGCAACTTTTGCATACACGTATATATGCAGACATACAGTAACATCTCGTAAATACAAATTCTAAGGGACAGAAAAATCGAGAGTTCGCGTTAACAAATTCATGTTAACTGGGGAACTAATAGATGTTTTTATGAATTATACGTTCCTGAATAGGACCAACGAGTGGTTCATGTTGACCGAAAGTTCCTCTGAAGCTTGTTTCTGTTGACGAGATTTAACTTTTTTGTACTGTACTTACCCACACACATGCAAATCTTTAAGCGAATATACACACGACGTATATACACGTAGGCACGCAAACACACACACACACACACACACGTGTGAACACATGTAAATAAAATAGAAGAATCAGAGGTATGAGGAGGAGGAAAATAAGAAGAATCCTCACATGTCGCCGAATAAGAACAAGAACACATGCAATTCTTTAAGCGAATATACACACAACGTACAAACACGTAGGCATGCAAACACACACACACACGCATACACACACACGTGCTCGGGAAAGCGCACTCACAAATACATTTACAGATTACACGTAACACAGGAATGTAGACACCTAGACTTATAAACACCCAGTCATAGATATAGTCGGTGGTAACACACACACATACTCGCGCGCGCGCGCGCGCACACACACATGAACACATGTAAATAAAATAGAAGAGTCAGAGGTAGGAGGAGGAAAATAAGAAGAATCCTCACATGTCGCCGAAGAAAAAGAACAAGGACAAGCAGCAGCTGCAGAAGAAGAAGAAGAAGAAGAAGAAGAAGAAGAAGAAGAAAGATGAGCATCTTTACATATCGAGTCTTTCATGTTTAGTGGCGAATGTTAGGCTGGGACGAACTCTCATAATTACCGTTCGTTATCACTGTCTAGAATCAATGATTCCAACTCTCAGTAGTTCAGAAAGCGGAAGTTTTGAAATGAATGTACCTTCTCCTGGCTTCTCTTTGCAAGTTTGAAACTCTTTGAAACACCGGACACTTTTTTATCTGTTGCTTGTTCTAATGATCGATGAGTTTTTAGTGCTCGAAACCATAAGATCTATTTTTCACGTTGGCTTTGTTAATTAGCCACCGAATGTTGATTGATGTGGAATGAAAAACCACTCTTTGTCTCCGGTGAATGTGCTAATTGATCGACGAGTGTTGAATTATTTGGGAATTATAGTACTTTTTCGTCCGTTGATTGTGTTAAAGAATCGTTACTGTTGAGTGAATTTTGAATCTACATGGCTTTCTGTGCGTTAGTTGTGTTGATAAATTGGGGAGTGTCGAATGGTTTGTAATCTATAGTACTTTATGTCTCCTAATTGTGTTTAACAATCGTGAGTGTTTTGTAATTTGTTAATCTACATTGCTTTTGTGTCTTTTTAAGTATTGATAAATTGGTGAGTGTAAAATGATTTACAGCCTGTTCTATTATCTTCTGTTTTGTTATGTTATGTCTCTTGGTAATTCTACTGTCTATGTAATGTCTGTTGATAATGCCACGGTCTATGTTATGTATGTCTGTTGATAATGCTACTGTCTATGTGATGTATGTTGATAATGCCACGGTCTGTGTCATAATAATAACGCCATACTCTGTACTTTATGTCATGGCAGTTTATAGCACCACAATATGTTTCATGTCTGTTGGTAACCCCACGATCCATGTCATATCTGTTGGTAACCCCACGATCCATGTCATATCTGTTGGTAACCCCACGATCCATGTCATATCTGTTGGTAACCCCACGATCCATGTCATGTCTATTGATATCGCCACGATCCATGTCATATCTGTTGGTAACCCCACGATAATGTCATATCTGTTGGTAACCCGACGTTCCATGTCATGTCTATTGATAAAGCCACGATCCATGTCATGTCTATTAATAACGCCACGATCCATGGCATATCTGTTGATAACGCCACGATCCATGTCATGTCTATTAATGACGCCACGATCTATGTCATGTCTATTGATAACGCCACGATCCATGGCATATCTGTTAATAATGCCACGATCCATGTCGTGTCTATTAATAATGTCACGATCCATGTCATGTCTGTTGATAATGCCACGATCCATGTCATGCCTATTGATAATGCCACGATCCATGTCATATCTGTTGATAACGCCACTATCCATGTCATGTCTGTTGATAATGCCACAAGCTGTCTTTTTGCCTGTTGATAACGCCATAATGTATGTTATGTCTCTGTTGTTATGCTGTGTGTATATATTGATATACTATCTTTGTTACGTCTTCTTACAACACCAGCGTTCGTCATATCAGCTGATAACGCCAAAGGCTATACCATATCTGTTTATAGAGCCTTTGTTTCACATATGTATGTAAGATCATAATACCCAAATGTAGTTACATCAGAGTCACGTCCGTCTTTAGATTATGCGCTGTTTCTTGTAGTTGTTAGCTTGTAAAGCCT